GAGCATAGCTCCACAAGGGTCCCACTGTGGGCCCACCTGCTGAGTGACGGCCAAAAAAGTCCAGTGGTCCCAGGACCGCTGAGCCCAGACAGGCCTGCAGAGCAGAGGCTGCCGGCAGGGAGCTGATGCCACACCAGGGCTTCATGGCTGGTGTATGCCAGCTGGGGGGTGGGAGGAGATACTGCCTGGACAGTGTGCCAGGGACAGGACCAGATGCTGGGGACAAGGGGCACAGGGCCTGGAGGGGACCCCTGGACAGGGGGGGTGGCACCTACTGACCAATGCTCCTGTGTCTGCAGCAGTGTCCGGGGGTCGAGGGGGTTCCTGTCTGAGGGGGCCAATGAAGGGGGTGCGTGACAGAGATGGGAGACGTACCATTTGTCTTGAGTCCATGTCCCCACCTGCCTGACCTTGGATAGACACCCCCCTTATCTTTTCAGCTCTCTCAGAATGCCACTCCCCACACTGGAGCTGGCATGGGAGGAGGGCTTTGCCCCCCAGCCTCTTGCCCAGGATCCAAGGTTCACCCGCTCTCCCTCAGGTGGGTGAGCAGGGACAGGTGACAGTGTGTAAGGGAGTAGCAGGTGGACATGGCTGAGAGGAGGACTAGAGCCACTCTGATGCCCTGCCACTCCCCATGGGGGCTCTGAGGGACCACTGGGGACTGTGCCTGTGACGCTGGGCCATCTGCCCTTTCTATCCCCAAGAGCTGGCCAGCCTTGCCCCTGGAAAGAAGCCTTGGGTGGGTGTCAGGCAGCCAGGGCAGGCATGAAGCAAACTTGTCCCCACAGTGACCTAGAGACCCTTAGACCCTCACTGGCCCTCAGACCCCACCTCCCATGGGACACAGGGACCAGGCTGGGAAGTGCTGGGGGCAGGGGGCCTGCACTCTGTGGCTGTCCCAAACTTATTCCAAGTGAGACGGGGGAGGTAGTGCCCGGCTGGCCCTGGGATAAGGGGTACTTGTTGTGCTTGGTCACTGTTGCCTGCCTTGAGGAGTCTTCACATTGTCCCAGCGAGCCCCCAGCTGAGACCCCTGCGGTGAGAGTTGTCAGGCTGGTGGTGGGGTGGGAGGGACTGCTGGTGCCTGGGGACACTAGGTTTCCTCTCTGCGGGAAGTGTGTGAGTGGCCAAGTCGGAGGGAGAAGGGGGACCGGGGGCTTCAGAACCAGAGAGGAGCATGGGGAGGTGGCCCATGAGAGGTCCTTCCCCAGTTCCCCTTTTCTGCAGGAACCCCCCAGGGGTGAGGGCCCACATGGATGAAGGAGCAGAGGGCTGGGCCACAGCCCCGCTGTGCACCCGAACACGGGCATCTGTTGGAGGGTGCGGAGCTCATGGGGTGTGCCAAACCCCAAGTCAATTCTTCGTCTCGCTCCTGTTGTTAGGGGCCATGGAGCCCATCCCAACTCACGGGGCCTGACACGCAACCCAACAGAACATCGCCGATCCCTACACTGACCATCCTGAGAACCTCCAAGTCCCGCCACCTGGCTCAGTGTCCTTCCGCTTTTGTTGCCCCTCCACTTCACCAAGCACAATATCCTTCTCCAGGGGCTGGTCTCTCCTGACAACATGTCCGACCCAGTCTCCCCACCCGGCCTCTAAGGAACACAATGGCTGTATTTCTTCCAAGACAGCTCTGTCCGTCCTTCTGGCAGTCTGTGTAGTGCTGCTGCTATTCTTTGCCAGGCACCATCTCTCAAACGCACCCATCCTTCTGCAGGTCTTCCTTCTTCTATGCCCTCCTTTCTCACGCAGACGAGGTGATTGAAAAGGCCACCGCTAGGATCAGGCGTACCTCTGTCCTCAACTTGAGCCTTCAGTGTCCCCCTGGCCTACTGGCAATCTGGTCCTGCTGCTCCCCTGCCCTTGTCTTGATCTTCGTAACTAAGGGCACACCTGCCAGGCCTGCCGACAGCACCCTGTCTGTCCTCCGTGCCTATGGAGCCCAGGTGGCCCGGTGGGTTATACGGCAGGCCAGCAGTTCAAACCCTCCCCAGGAGAAAGATGAGGCTCTTAACTCCTGTGAAGATGCATCGTCTCACAAACACAAAAAAGAGCGGTTCTTCTTGGGCTATAGGGTCCCTACGCAGCCCAGTGGACGAGGCAGGAGTGGGTTTGTCTCCTCCGCCCGATGCCTGACTCCGATTAAAAAGGCCATGAAGCCCACCAACCACCTGAATTCCATCCCATCACCATCACCGTGGCAGGCCCCCAGAGCTTCCAGAAGTGTGACCTCCACACCCCGGGACCCCTAACTGTGGACTCCACCGGGCCTCGCACAAGGCCTGGCCCTCCTCCTCCTGACCAGGGTCTTACCTTCCTGAGCTCTTTGCTGCTCAGAAGTCCCTGGGCTTCTTCCCACCCCCTTCTCGCTGCCTCTCCCTGAGATGTGCGTGACCCACTGGGACTGGGCCGTCCCCTCCAAAGAGCAGCGTGGTCTCTGCACACCGGGCCCTGCAGCCCAGCTCCATGCCTTCCTCCTCCTCCTCCTGGTCATTATCCTTGAGACAGGAGCACTGGGACTCCGGGGGGCTGCGGGGGAGGCATGGCTCAGAACTGAGCACACAGGAGAACCTGACAATGAGGCCGGCAGGGGCTGGCCCCCACCTGAGACGGACCCTGAGAGGGGACATCAGCTCCCTCTGCATGGCATCTCAGCTGTCCCCCTGGGCCTTGCAGCCTGGTCTCTGTGGAGGAGAGCCGACATTCTAGGGCTGCTGCGGCCCGGTCCTCACCACACAGACAGGCTCCTTGCGGGTCTCAGGGGGGTTCAGGTATGAGCTGTCCACACCCACAATGAAGCACCATCCTCAGTGCCCCTGCCTGGGTCTCAGGTGCTAGACCCCCTGGTGCTAGGGAAGCAGGGATGGAAGTTTCCTGACCCATTCCACGGACAGAGACTGCCCACCCACAGCCCCAAGCAGGCCACTCACGCCTGGGCCACCTTGTGGGAATGCAGGTGTGTTAGTCTGGGTACTTTGGAGAAACAAATCCACAGAAACTCATGTATAAGAGAGAGTTTATATAAAGGTTAAGTGCGCATCAAGAAAACATCCCAACCCAGTGCTGCCCAAGCCCATGAGTCCAACATTAAGCCGTTAACCCATATGTCCAGCACCAGTCCACAAAGTCCTCCTCCATCTCACAAAACACACAGTATGATGCCGACTGCAGGAGGAAAGCCAAGTCAGTAAATGTGTAAACATCTCAGCACTGGCAGGGTCTCCCCACGGCTGCTCCAGCACCCAGGGCTGCATCGGGGTAGGTCCATGTGGCTTCTCCTTGGGGATGTCTTGCAGGAAGTCAGCCTTGCAAGCTGAAGCAAGGAACTGGCTAAGGCAGCTGCACCCTGGTGAGACCATCACAAAGCAAGAGACCCAAAAACTACAAAGGTGAGGCTCACCGAGCCATTTATCCCTCCGCCCTTCAATTAATCCCACATGTGTTCATCAGCCAGGTTGGCACAATAAACTAACTCAGCAGGCCTTGCTCAGAAGCCCTCCTTGGGGGAGGGGTGGGGGGGTTGGTCAATCCCCAGAAAAGCCTGCTGAGGCAGTCAGTGCAGCCAAAAATTCAAAAACCCAAACCAACAGGGGCAGGAGAGGCCCAGAGCGATTGGCACTTTCGTACCCTGCTGGTGGGCTTGTTGAAAATACGTACAGTCATAAGCATGTCCAAAACACACATGGTGTCATTGTGGAAAGCTATGTGGCACTATCTAAAACAACTGGGGTTAGAAATCCCAAACAACCCCGAAATCTCTCTCTGGGCACTGCCCCAAAGAAATGAGAGGTAGAACACCAGCAGCTGGGTGCTCTCCCACGCCCACTGCTGCACCGTTCACAGTTCACAGTAGCAAGGAGCTGTGGACAGCCCACATGCCGTCAGGAGGCAACTGGGTAAGGAAACTCTGGTACACACACCATGGAACACAACGCGTCCCTGATAAACAGTGACTGAATTCTCAAAACACTTCACCACATGCAGCGACCTGGTCCTCGTTCTGCTGAGCGACACTGGTCATTCACAAGAGGACCGCTATTGTGTAAGACCCCTGCTGTGTGGAGAGACAGCAGGACAAAGGCAGACATCTGTTGTCTGGCCCTATCATCTAACCAGGTCTCCCAGGCCATGAGGGAGTATGCTTGCCTAGTGCCCATGAACTAGACATGGCTGTTCATTTAAAAAACCAGTTTAAGAGGGGAGCCCCCGCCATCTCAGCTGTGGTCATTTTCTCATGAGGGGCAGAGGGGAGAAGACCAACCAGCTCCTGCCGTATTGCATTGCTCTATGGTTGCCCCCCAACAAGCAGGCAT